GTAAGGGGAACAGCTGTCTTCATAGAAATGGAACTTTGGGGGTTGGGGCACCCTTAGGTGATGTCCTTTTCAGAAGTCAATCAAAAACAGCAAGGCTCCTATATAGTTCGGGATTTCCGAAATCAATGGGGAGTCGTTCAACGACGGTATTCCGAAGGCAGTGATCACGATGACTGGATGGCGGCTGGGTTTGATAACGTCATTCAACATCACTGGTGGACTAGACTCCAGAGCGCGCTAGAGGAGTGTTTGGACCGTGTCTCGACGCTCTTCGACCAATGGTGTTCAACGATATAATGAAAACCGCGCCACCCTCCAGCGCCTTTAACTCCATCAATGAAGTACTCACCAGTCTCTTCAAGTATGGAGCAAGAACAGATCCCAAGTCGCCAAGAAAGCCAGCTACGCCGCAAAACACATTTCGAACGGCGGTCGGTGTTGACTCGGTGTAGAGTAGTGGTTGAGAACACCATACAATTGCATTGAAGATTTTTGCCAACAGTGGGAATACCATCGAAATCTGTGGACTAACTGGAACATTTGTGAATTTAGTTCGGAAACATATTTTAGCTACTTCTACTACTAATACTTTTGAATTGTAGGCAATGCGATGAGATTCCTAAACCACCACACAGCACATCGACAATCTTTAACGGTTTACTTTTTGTACCTTTTTGGTAAGCAAAGCAAAGTATTTTTACGATTCACTTACCAGGCAAATATAGAGCACACATCATGGATACAGCTTGTAAAGTGAGCGAAAGGACTGACACAGTTTTTCTGTCCAAATAAACCTGAAAAATGGAAGGTGGTAGTAAAGTCGCTTTCAGCGAAGGCAAATCAAAAGGGGTGAAGGGTGGGAGTGGTGCAGTGGTAAGTGGAGGTGCTCTACACCACACGGTCCAGGGATCGAACCCTAGATAGAATGCAACCTAGACCGACCGAGCCTTGCACTCTCCGGAGTAGGGTATTCTGTACCAGACTCGCGTCTGGGATGATGAAAACACTGACGTCAATTTCGGCTAGCCCACGGAAGCCATGGTGTAAGTTAATTTCATTCAAAATATAGCTGCGTTCTGAATGGAAGTTGAGAGCGTGGCGCATCCTCAAAAGGGGTTGACTACTGCCGACCGCCTACGCTTACATTTCAATCAACAGAATAAGCTGAATCCGACGCAATCGGTCAGGAGCGCAAATCTACCGGGAATTCATGACTATATCTTTTTGCTCCAAAATCTCTCTGTTATAACTCACAAGAAGTGCGGACGAAGTTATACGATCCTGCGGGTATTTCGACGATTCCAGAAAGGAAAAAGCCAGTCATCTTATCCTCGCTGAGCTCAGTGGAAAACAGTGACAACGCCCAGTATGTCCCGTTCATCACCACTCTGAAATCTTCCTAGTGATTTTGACCTTTTTTGTTTGTTTAACTGCTGTTTTTGGCCGTAGTTCGCCTTGCGAATAGAATCAAACGAGCTATGAAAAGCTGAGATTGGGATGAAATGGTGCCCCGGTAGCGTAACTGGTAGCGCACTTGCCCGGAAAAGCGAGAGGTGCGGGTTCTAGTCCGCCTGGGGCGAAAGTTTTGTTCATAACCCAGCATTCTTGTGAG